ATATGCGCACACGCACGCACGCACGCACACACACACACACACACACACACACACACACACACACAATTTATATATTGAGAGGTTATATTATCGAATTGAATTATTATGTATATAGAAAACATAGTTTAATCAATTTGTGAAGCAAATATCATTTAAAAAAACTTTACATTAGTACACATACGTGAATTGTGAATAATATATAATTACATGATTAAATACTATTATGATATATGAACATTTCTTACCTTAATAAATTTGCAGCTAATATATGCCGATTATCCGTCTACGCGGCTATACCATACAGCTCTACCACGTGTAATAAATACTGTAATAATCACCGCTATTAAAACAAGAATAAATCGATTAAATTATATAAAAATACATACCAGGAAATAGAAGACCGGGAAACAAAAGTATATGCGACGACGACTTGCATCTATATAACCTCTTGCACAGTCTACACACAAGACGCGTTTCCCGCGCAGCAAGATGAGTAACCAATCATTTTTTTGCTCTATAGAAAAGCGATAAATTGATTGGCTACCGCGCGCGGCAAATTTAAAGTGATAATTTTTGCGGCATTTCTGCATCCTCTGTGTGTAGGAGCCATATACATATATTACGACCACAACGATGGTCGAAGACAGACTACTGCATATATCTTAATAATCCCAAATCCCAATAACGTTCACCACACGTTCAGCAGAATATTTATTTTGCAACTGTAGGAAGTTATCATCGCTAAGATAGACCGAACTACTTCTCTAGATCTAAAAATATAATTGTACACATTGATCTCCGATGTAATAAACACATTGTGTTATTATTATCATAATTAAATAATGAGATTTGAAAATAATTACATTTTTTAAATAATTTATAACAATTTAATTTTAAAATATATTAATTATAAAATTTAAAATACATTTTATAATATAAAAAAATTATTTCTTAACAAATATATAAGTTTATTTAACATAAAAATACTATACAAAACGAAACAAAAATTTTATAAATATTTAATATTTAATATTACGCAAAAATAAATATCAAAATATTTGTTGTAATATTTATAAAATTTTTGTTTCATTTTGTATATTATTTTTGTGTTAAATAAACTTATATTTGTTAAGAAATAATTTCTTTATATTATAAAACGTGCATTTTAATTTTTATAATCTATATATTTCAAAAATAAAATATTATAAATTATCTAGAAAATTTAATTATTTTTAAATCCCATTATTTAATTACGTTAAAAAATACTATTAATAAAAAGAAATATTTATTTTTTTACTAAAAATAATTTTAGTAATAAAAAATAAAATTTTTTAAACGCTAATGCAGAAAAATCATTACTTTAAACTTGGATGTACATCAAATGTCCATAGGATGTACTTGTTAGATATCAAATTTATGTCCAAAAACGGACATCCAATTTAAGTTCCATTCGGATCCTTGGACGTATGGACATTAATTGGACTTAAAATGTATGTCCATAAGATATCCTGTGCTATTTGGGTATTTACAGCACATGTTGTAAAAAGATATGGGAAACGTTTAGCATAAAATGAATTGCACTCACCAACAAGTACGAAAATAATGTGGTGCGAGATGATTGCAAGTACGTCGCCACGTGATGTATTCTTCACAAGACTGTTTTTCACCGCAAATAACAATTTTTACTTATTTAGCACTTTAGCTCAATTTCTGAAATTTACCACGAATTCACATCATCCACACCTTTCAGACAAAAAATTTTGCGAATTCGAGGTGATCGTTGGTTTCGTGGATTTCGCCATATTAAAATGGATGACGATCGGCGCCGTGGCAGCCGATCGGGCCGATGCCAAGTGATATGCGCGGGACAATTTTTGGCGGGCGTTATGATTGCGCCCTTGCGCATGCTTAAGTTTATGACAGCAGAACTGGATAGTAAGAGCTTAATTCGAACAAACTTGTATAGACGCATAATGAATAGAAAAATTAATAATCACGCATCTAGTATGAAAAATATAGCGTAAGCAGTATGGCATTTTATTTCAAACAATTGGTCAATTTCTGTATGTAATATGCATAATTAT